GTTTAACCTCTCGGGTTTATTCACGCCGTGTTTCAAGGGCTTCTCGACGGTAATTGTCACCTCCTTATTACCTCGAAGTTGCCATTTTTCCAAACTACATCGAGCATGCTTATTTTTCAGATGATGAGTTCATCTTTCTCCTACTTTACGGTACTCTATTCGATGAAGTAAAACTTGTCTGTCGGAGAGGATCGTGACACCAGTGATTCTAAAGTTACGGCACCACAGGTATTCACGATTAAAAATCAGCATACTGACTAATCGAGCAATGTCTTGCCAACAACCTGCGACATTTCTTTAGGTAACATATTAGTAGCGGAAGCGCGAGACTTGACTGAAATGTAACACCAGTCTACGAGATACGTTTTTTCGGTCATAAATCGGATACAGCGATTTTTTTTATAAATAAAAATTGTATTGTAATGTTTTATGGGATTATCATAGTCGGAATAATACTAAACACGCCACAGTTTGAATTTGAAACCGTATTTTTATCATTTTCTTCGTCAAAATTTCAATCCTATTTGCTCACTGAGAAAGTGAGATTTTCACTCACATTTGTCAAAAACAATGTTTTCAAAAACATTTGTAACATTTTTTGGGATTATGTTAGTCGGAATAATACTAAACACGCCACAGTTTGAATTTGAAACAGTATTTTCATCATTTTCTTCGTTAAAATGAGACCAAAATAACGATATAATTTCAATCCTATTTGCTTACAGAGAAAGTGACCCTACCCTAGTAGCACAAAATATTGTATACACATTCATATAATATTAAAAAGAGATTCAATCTTTTTTTAATATTCAAATATACATACAATATTTATTTTATATTAAGTAACAAATATTTTTTTTTAAATATGCAGGAAATATCTATTTCATGTTACGAGAAAAATATGTTTTTCTGAATATTAAATGAATCTTTATGTAATATTAGAAATAGAATATTTTTTCCTAATATACAGATAATATTTATTTCATATTATGAAAAAAATATTTTTTTCTTGTTATAAAATGAATCTTTATGTAATATTAGAAATAGAATATTTTGTTTAAATATGCATATAATATTTATTTCATATTATGAAAAAAATATTTTTTCTCATTATAAAACAAATCTTTATTTAATATTAGAAATAGAATATTTTTTCCTAATATACAGATAATATTTATTTCATATCATGGAAAATATATTTTTCCTCATTATAAAATGAATCTTTATGTAATATTTGAAGTAGAATATTTATTTTTAAATATTTAGGAAATATTTTATGTTTATCATGGATGAATATTTGTTCCAGAATATGATGCGAAGTAAAATGTTTACTTTTAATTTACATTAATTCGTGTATGTCACTTAATCGACATGTGTTTATATTATAAGAACATTAATGCAACAAAGTTGTGTATGAAAAATAATCGTGTAGCTCTTACGTCTTACGTAATATGATTGAACTGTAAGATTAAACATTCTTTTAATTATTATTAATTTTTTGTATGTGTTAATAAAATAAATGAATTAACAACTAATCAAATATTATTTTGTTAATTGGATAAAATTTATTGTAGTATTATAAAATAAATTTAAATTATTAGAAAATGGTGAACTTGGATCTTGAAAAGAAAATATATTCGCAATTGTAGTACAGTTAACAAATATATTGTATGTGTTTCGATGCTTACCTACGATGGAAGTACTTGAGGAAATATATATCTGTATGTCGTTAACATACTATTAATAATATGCGTCATTAAAAAAAAGTAGTTTGATTTTTAACTAAACAATTTTTTTAACAGAAGTTTATCTCTTCTAATAATTATATGATTTGATACGAGATATGTATATATATATATTTTATTTTATTTTATATATTTGAGCCTTTATAAGTCTAAAAAGTAATGAATGTAACAACGTAGGTTCGCGTGGCTCAGCGAGGAAGCACATCACACAGTAAACGGTAGGTCCCGAGTTCAAATCCCGCCCCAGCAGTATAAAAATTTCTGAATGTAAAGGTTTTTTCGAAGACAAAGTACAATATTTCCTGAAGCAGTGTACAGAAAGTAGTCTCTATATATACCCTAGTAGCACAAAAATATTGGATATATATTTTTTTCGAATATTGGATAAATATTTTTTGAGCCACACTTTTTAATATTAGATAAATATTAGATGTAATATTGTATACATGTTCAAGAAATATAAATTGAATGTTTAGAACATATAAGCTAAATATTCGGAGAATATAAAATAGATATTTAAATAACATTCAATAAAATCTTTAAATTTAAGAAAAAGTTATACAAAAAATTAATCTCTATATACATATCAACTACTTTCTGTACACTGCTTCAGGAAATATTGTACTTTGTCTTCGAAAAAACCTTGTTACATTCAGAAATTTTTATACTGCTGGGGCGGGATTTGAACTTGGGACCTACCGTTTACTGTGTGATGTGCTTCCTCACTGAGCCATGCGAACCTACGTTGTTACATTCATTACTTTTTAGACTTATAAAGGCTCAAATATATATAATAAAATATATATACAGTATTGTCTCTATAGAAGCGACGCTCTCGGGGCTCAACGCTCGGCTATATCGTGGACGAGAAACGATTCTTGATACTTTGTTGACGCCTACTGGAGGCGGCGAGTATAGAAAAGAACAGCGAGCATATGACAAAGAGGGACTGAGCGGCCGAGCATCGCCGAATTTGCTATCGCTTCCTTCGCTTCGGGTCGGCTGTAACGAAACACAGGCGATGTTTATGCGAGCCTATACGAAATCGGTGTTCTAATTCTGACCTCTACCTCTCTTGGTAGAGGTCGCAGAATGAAATACTGATTCTGTATAGGCTCGCGTAAACATCGCCTGTGTTTCGATACAGCCGACGTGGAGCCACTTGAGCGATGCATGCCTTTGATTTCTTATTGCGTTAGTAAATAGGACCTAAATTGTATATCGTATTTGGTGTCATTTTAATTAGAAAAGTGTCACGAATATGTTGATGAAGTTCGAAAAAAGGAAGAACAAAAATAAAGATAAATTTCGTTGTTGATTTAATATTGTATATGTACTAGTTAAATCGTGTCATAACTAAAGTACATATATGTATGTATCGCTCATTTACTGCAATAGTGATATTACTCAAAAAGATACAAACTTGCGAATTTGAACTGTTTAACCAACTTATTTTACTCTGAGTTCTCTCACGATTTCAGCAAATAAATGATATGTCAATTAAATTACAATTCCTTTTTTCAGACGAGGATACACTTTAAAGAAAGGACAAATGTATATTATAATTTATGAAAAACAATAATAAAAATTATGTTGTACTTGATCTTAGTTAAATCAGAAAACTGTCACAGACATGTTAAAAGTTTTAAAACAAGAAAAGGAAAAATAAAAAATTTGACAATGCTCGACGACCGACCGTCAAACGGGCCGCTATCCTGGGGAACCGCCCATAGGAAGGCACACTCGCCGGTTCAGCGAGTGCTGGGTTCTAACGGTACGCAGTGGGGATAAGTAGAGGGGATACGATATTTGTCTATATCGTGGACGAGTTCTGAGCTTATATAGAGAAAATACTGTATATTTTCTTTTCAAGATCCAAGTTCACCATTTTCTAATAATTTAAATTTATTTTATAATACTACAATAAATTTTATCCAATTAACAAAATAATATTTTGATTATTTGTTAATTCATTTATTTTATTAACACATACAAAAAATTAATAATAATTAAAAGAATGTTTAATCTTACAGTTCAATCATATTACGTAAGACGTAAGAGCTACACGATTATTTTTCATACACAACTTTGTTGCATTAATGTTCTTATAATATAAACACATGTCGATTAAGTGACATACACGAATTAATGTAAATTAAAAGTAAACATTTTATTTCGCATCATATTCTGGAACAAATATTCATCCATGATAAACATAAAATATTTCCTAAATATTTAAAAATAAATATTCTACTTCAAATATTACATAAAGATTCATTTTATAATGAGAAAAAATATATTTTCCATGATATGAAATAAATATTATAAGTATATTTACACAAAATATTCTATTTCTAATATTACATAAAGATTCATTTTATAACAAGAAAAAAATATTTTTTTCATAATATGAAATAAATATTATCTGTATTATAGGAAAAAATATTCTATTTCTAATATTACATAAAGATTCATTTAATATTCAGAAAAACATATTTTTCTCGTAACATGAAATAGATATTTCCTGCATATTTAAAAAAAAATATTTGTTACTTAATATAAAATAAATATTGTATGTATATTTGAATATTAAAAAAGATTGAATCTCTTTTTAATATTATATGAATGTGTATACAATATTTTGTGCTACTAGGGGATGTTATCACTTGTTAAATATGTGAATAAGATCCAAATTATATCGTTACGGATCTTACGTGTGTAGAGTAGATTGTCATACCGTTTTGAGATGATCCTTACCGAGATTTTTGAGAATATCTTCGTCCAAACGAGAATTTATGATACATTCTTGATCCAGCACAATTTAAATAGATTTTTGCAGCATTTTGAAAGGCAACGCAAGAGTCGTCGGTATATTAAATGTGGAATGTATCATGATCCATACTAACTAGGCTGTCTATTCTACAAAAATATATGAAAACGAAGGATAACCGCGGGAACGTCTGTTTCGCTTAATGTACGAGGTTATTCTGAGAAACTGACTACAATTGAAATTCAACGATTCGTAACTAATGGAATACGATAAATAATGAAAAGTCGTAACTTGTTTCCAATTATTTGTTATTATGGGCACCTCGCTCTAATATTCCTGACGGTAGTAATCAAATCGATCGACGGCGCACGAGAGTCTGTAATTTGGTGTAACTGCCACGTGGTAAATTCGATAAAGAGAATAATGTATTGAATAAAATACTATACCGAGGTGTAGTCGAGGGATGGTTATAATTTTGTGGCCAGATGTTTTTGATATCCAAAGAAGAGATGGACGTATTCCAAACAGAGCTCGGCACTTACTATAACATATTGTGCATCACTGGTTTGTGGCCTTTCAATGACTCACCCTTCGCAAAGATACAAAGAACGATTTTCGGTATCATTATGATTAGCTGCTTTCTAATCCAGGTGACGAACACATATTTAACACTTGCTTTAGCGATATGCCCGGTTTGTTGCACTCTTTATTCCCTGTAACAAATGATACATGCTTTCAGATGGTAGCGTTTGTAATGTGTGAAAAATCGTTAAAGAACGTATTGTCATTTTTTTCGTTTGGATGTCCTTTAGCGTTGTTCTCTGTACGATTTCTTGGCCATATCTATTGTTTTCCATTTGTAAGTTGCTAAATACGGAAAGGATCCACGTACCGGGGTTGGATGGTTCTAAAAAATATTTGTGTCCGACTGCAGATGAGGTTTATCTATGATAGTATACGAGACGATTACAACGCGCTGGAAAATCCGATCGAACTAGAGATCCTATCGAAGTATATGGATCTTTCGAAACGCGTAGTTGTATACTACTTGTGTAAGACGTTTCGCCAATATTTCTCTATTTCGAGGTTTCTTTTTCACGGTTGAAACGTCTTAAACCGTTAGTAAATTCGCAGCAGCAATGAGAATTTTGAAGATAGAACAAATTTACTAACGAAAAAGGTTGTAATAATTTTTAGACACGTGAATATGATTCAAATATCATAGAGGTGGTGTTGTCAGAACAAATTTACTAACAAAAAAGGTTGTAATAATTTTTTAGACCTATGAATATGGTTTGATATTTTGTATATTGCATAAGTGGGACAGATTTAGCTACTTATTGTGGAGATCAGATCGAAACGTGTTAGTGAAACTGATACCACCCAGTGATACTGTTTGACGTTTCAACGTGTTCTCGCGATTACGCCCAATCAATGATTTTTAACAATTATAGGGGTGTGGTTGGCTGGAATAGTTAGCTTCTCTCTTCTATTGTCGCTTCCAGTAATACCACAAGTTCTAGAATACCGGAACGAAACTCGAGCCGAGTACCTGAGGCTCGTGGGATTTCTGTTGCATGGGGACAAATATGTTACTTTCATAACCGTGCATTTGACAATTGATATTGGGATTGGATTGCTTGTGTTAGCGTGTACCGAGTCGACGTTTTCTATTATGTCCTATTACGCTTGTAGTCTGTTTAAAATTGCTAGGTAAACATTTATATTAACGTTATGTAACGGGATTCAGTAATCTAACTCTGTCTTTTTAGCTATCGAATACAAGCTTCGATCGATAACACGATCACGCAGGTAATAGTTTCGAAACACCAGGTGTGGAATAACTATGGTATTCGTGAAGCTGTGGAAGTACACAAAAGTGCTATTAAGTTGGTAAAATTCATTTAAACTCCGTAGCAGTATGTTTTGTGTCTTGTTTCTGTCACTAAACGTGTGTTATGACATGTTCGTAAAACTAGAATGATTGATGGCATAGTAGAGACGATGATGTGGCCCTATTTACTAGCGATTATACTAGTCACAATCTCGTTTGGTATAAATCTATATCGCGTAAGTACCACTAACGATCACTAATTAGTAATTACGATTCCTTTTCTTTAATATTTTCTCGTACAATTTGCTCCACCATGCTCCACCAACATTATTTCAACGAAATTCTGCTTAAAGCTAGAACTATCGACAATTATAGTGCATTTATTTGTGCCAAAGGAATTGAAATGATAGATTCAAGAATAAAGTAAATTTTTTGCAAGATTTGTTAGAAATTACGAGTTTCACTGCTCCGGTAGTTCCAGTGTTGATATCTTCAAAGCTTTAAACAAATCGTTTATCGAATGTTTTCATTGTGCGTGATAGTTTTTTGAAGCGATCAGCGAGAGAAATGATCCAATGGAAGTTCTTCTTACTGCCGTTTTAACTGTCATACATTTGTTTGTCATATTCGTGAATAATGACTCCGGACAAAAGGTATTGGACAGTAGCGCGGAAGTGTTTTACAACACGTGAGTTCAAATTTCGTTCAAGTGTTGTTTACATCTTGGGAAATCTGTCTTTTACTTTATAATTGAATACCATTTAACAATATAGATACAACCACAGATGGTATCGTACCCCACTGAAAATGCAGAAAATGCTTTTAATGATTTCGTGTAGAAGTTCTATCGATTGTGCGTTTAACCTCTCGGGTTTATTTTTGGCATCCTTCAAAGGCTTTTCGATGGTAACTTTCAGCGCCTTGTTAGCCAGGTTTTGTTGTTTTCTAAAACTACCTTGAATATCTTTATTTTACAGATGATGAGTTCATCTTTCTCCTACTTTACTCTACTGTATTCAATGAAGTAACTTCTCTATCGGCGAATATGGTGTAAATAGTCGGTCGGCGATGGTCGTCACAGTAGTATTAATACCATTATTTGCACTATATGTGTCGACAAAGTTGTTTTTGTAAATATTAAATAAATAAAAGAGTTGAGAAGTATCCATTGAAAACGTTGAGAGTATAATGTTTTGTGTGAATCTCGTGTCAAGGAAACTGTAAGCAAATAATACCTTCATCTGGACGATTGAGCGTTGATATATCATAAAAAATCCTTAAACGAATACTTTGCATTGCAACAATGTCGAATATTGCGTCAAATAATAGGAATTTTTCGGTACTGACTAGATTCTCCGCGCGAACTGCCATTTTAGTTCTTTTGGGGTCGTAAGTTCCAACTAACTTTCGTGGCTAGTGACTAGTTACAGATTTATGATCGTCTAAGATCACCGATAATTCGATTTACAAGTATTGAACAACGAATAAACATTTGCAATAACTTCCATTCGATAATTGTTTGTCCAAAGCATCAGATCGTTTCGAACCAAGCGTTATTCACATTTCTACGTACCTGCCATTCTAGGAACGATTCCTTACACCAAAAGAATTGCTTCTTGCAGAATTTCACGTAATTTTCTAATGAAACGTACGAATTTTCATTTTACGACACATTTTCATTGATGGTTCGATTATTCTTGGAAATTGTCTTCTTCCCCATCTACAATGCACTTTTTTTATCGGTACGCGAAGGCAGAAAGGTCCCTTTCGAGCGGCGTCCGCGTAAATTCTGAGAATCAACGCGTGTAATAGAAATTCTCCGTCCCCGAATATAAAAATAAAAAGAAACAGAGGAACATTTTTTTATATCTCAATTTTGTTGAATACGATCTTGATTTATTTCAAATTTCCGGTATGGCGGTAATCAAATCGATCGATGGCGAACGGTAGCCTGCAATTTTATGAAATGCTAGTCCATTATCGTCAACGGGCAAGACGTTGGAAATTTAGTACAAACACACAACAGTGTAAATAAAATATGACACCGAGGTGTAATCGAGCGCTGTCTCTGGATGTGCGCTCACACGTTCTGCGGCAACAAACGAAAACATGAACATGTTCCGACAAGAGTATGGCATCTACTATTCCTTATTGTGTTTCACCGGTTTGTGGCCATTTGACAATTCAATCCTTGTGAGGGTTCAAAGAATGACTTTTGCTCTACTCATGCTCTGCTGTTGCGTGATCCAGGTGAAAGAAAATTATTTATCTTTGTCTGTATTTGCCGCGTCATATCACCCACTGATTATTTCCCAGCGTTTTATCGTATTTTTAATTTCTCGTATTTCGTCCGTTCCATTTTTCGTGATCACAATCACCATAAAAGTTTCTGTGCTTCCATTCCAGTAACGCCACACGGCTTTCGGTGGATGCTTTCATCGTCGAATAATGAATGATACATTTTTGCAGTTTTGGACGCTAGCAATATCCGAATTTACGTTGAAGAACTTATTACTGACGCTATCGTACGGCTGCCCTCAGATGTTGTATTTTTTGCGATATGTCGGTTTTATCTTTAGTTTTTCCACTGTAAGTCACGACGAACATCCAGCACTGGTCGACTCCCTAAATTGATTTGTGTTCAAATTTAGCTGCACAAAAGAAATTAGAACAAGAGTAAAAGTCGTCTCAAGACTGTTTCTACACGATTTTTCTCCCTGAAAAATATTCTTTCGTAGCATAAAATTTGAAGACAGATCGAATCGAAAATAGCATTAAACGTCTAAACGTAGACTTATTACGATTAAGGGAGATTTCTATGAAACCGTCTTTCCGTTTAACTACAGGTAAAATTTATCTATGAGAACATACTAGTCGATTACGATACGCTGAGAAATCCGGTCGAACTGGAGATACTAATCAAGCAAATACATGCTTCGAAACGTATAATCCTGATCTTCTTGCGTAAGACGTCCAACAAATATGTTTCCAACGACACTCCGAAAGCAGAACAATATCATCACTTTATTTCCTGATTACCGTGCAAGCTTGAAGGGCAGTAGAAATTTTAAAGGATCACTTTCGCTAAAAACAGTCTACGACTATTAAAGCAACGAAGCTGTAACGCATTCGTATCCACGGAAACAGCGAGAACGGAATCGAATATTAATTTAATCTGTTACTATCTGTAATATTAACCCTTGATTCCCATCTAATTAGATTTTATTTTCGTTGGATATCTAGCAAAGCTACACAAGTAATGCACATTTGCCTTCTGTCGCTGTAACCGCGAGGCTGATCCTCTTCCTTGTATATGTCAGACCAGAATCTGATGCCTCCTTTACAATTGATACTGTTTGATGCGTACTAACATAACCTGTGTCCAGGTTGGAATGATGTTCGTTTTCCTACCTCGATATCTGACTTCGTTAGATGTCTGACGACAAACTGATATAGTTGCGTGTTTATAGATTTGTCGAAAAGTATCTTTGATCCCGGTTCTCATGTTCTGCTACGACAGCCGATATTATGTATCCGTGATGATAGTCAAGAGAATACACATCGGTATCAGTGTGTTGTCAGATTGTTCAAACATCAGACTGCAATGCCAACGAAACGTACACACATTCGATCGCGAATAAATACCTTAAAATATCACATTTCCCCATTGTTCTAAGCATGTGTTAGTTGTAAGAATCGTCCCAACACAGTGCTTACTCAATGTATGTCTTGAATTCCAGAGGTGTGTTGTCTACCAATAGTTTGCATCGCTGTACCGTTAGTGTTCCCAAAGTTGCTCAACCCTCTGCTGCACAATAACGGAACACGAGCCGTGTATCTAAAATCCCTCGGATTTTTCGTTGACCAAGAGAAGTATGTGAATTTGGTATCCATGCATGTGATATTAGTGGCAACGATTGGATTATTGGTGATAACGTGCACCGAATCGACGCTCACCGTTATCGCCTTCTATGTATGCGGACTATTTAAAATCGCTAGGTACTCGTTTATATTTGGGAATGACACTTGTCCGTCAAAGGATTTGCTGGAATTTAGTAATCCACCTTTAGCTTCTTAGTTACCGAATAAAAACCGCTGTCAACGACGTGGCAAAAGAGGTTACCAATTCGAAACATCATGCCACGATTTATCCTAGCATTCGTCATGCTGTGTCCATACATAAGAAATCTATTAAGTTGGTAAAATTCGTTTAAACTTCGCGGCAATATATCCTTCCATTTATTAATGAACAAACCTTTCTTCTCTTGTGCATACTGTTTGTCAACATACTGAATCATTGTAACATGAATTCTGAAACTAGCACCATCGAAGTAGCGGTAACGGGGATGATGTTGACATATTTAATAGCAATTCTAGTAGTTGTACTTTCGTTTGCTATAAATCTGTACCGTGTAAGTACCGTAACTATAAGCAAATCCATCTGATATCATTTTCCGTTGAATACGATATTATCTTTTATTTAATTTTATCATTCTGTGCGACAGTTTTTTCTAGCAGTCGTGGAAATGAGTGATCTACATGAAATTCTTCTTTGTACCATAGTAGTTTTCGTTCACATAGTAATCATGTTCTTAAATAACCATAGCGGACAATATATAATCGACGATGGCAACGATATATTTCACGAAACGTGAGTTTACGTCTAATTTAAATTCGCACTCGTGGACCATTTGCCATATTTCTGTAATAATTAACGAAAATACTGACACGATACTCTTTAACTATATAGATACAACTCTGTGTGGTATTGTGTTCCAGTGAACATGCAGAAATTGATTTTAATGATACTGCGTAGAACTTCGCTAGGCTGTGAATTTAATCTATCCGGTTTATTCGTTCCATGCTACGAAGGCTTTTCGTTGGTAATCGTTTGCACTTTATCATCTACAAGTACCTACAGTGTATTCGATTCTACGTTAAAAGTGTTTCTATTTCAGATGATGAGCTCGTCTTTCTCATACTTTACTATGTTGTATTCGATGCAGTAAAATGTTTAGTAGCAATGATCGTGACAATAGTTAACGTAAAGTAATGGGCACTTATAGTCATCCACGATTAAAAAGAACAGGCTACACAGTGCGGAAGGTCTTGTCAGCGACGTGTGCTTCGTCCCTTGGTAAGGTACCATGTGTCCACGAAAAGAAGGCACAGTGTGTTTACATCCCCACTCCTGTTGCAGTCAGCTGACTCTATTGGCGCAGGAATCGCCATTGGTCGAAAACGTTGACGAAGAGTGGGGCAGAATAATGGTAACATTGGCGTAGACTTCCAATGGAAACGTTAGCTAATGATTTTCTTTCTGTTGATTCGATAAGTGAAATGAATTTAATTTAATATTTTGAAATTCATTTACAGCAAAAAGAATTAGTTTGTATTTATTAAAAATACTATAAATCCGCTTGAACTCATTTCTATCTAGATAAGCTTTACTCAATTACAATTTACGCAAAAAGTAATCACGTTAAAATTGAGACTAGCATAACTTTTACGTTTTCTTGCATTTACTGTCGTTTGAATCTGTTGAATCATATCGCTTCCTGGATTTAATATTAACGATTATTAAAGATATTAAATTGGATTTTTTCGTTACGAGAAATTTATCGAATCGATGCTAATATCTAAACAGAAAGGAAATCATTCTGTTCGTTAATAGCTTTCTATTGGAAAACTATGCCCAATGTTGCCATAACTCTGTCTCACAGCGAACTGCAACTGGAGTGGGGATGTAAACACGCTGTGCCTACTTCTCGTGGACACATGGTATTATTATCTCTTCAGTAGCATATTTTTACCCTTTTTTTAAGTACTCTGCTTGAAATTGAATTGAAAATTTTTTTGAATCCACGTAATTATTCGTTTGATTTATTTTATTTAAAATAATTGTTTTTGCACGCTTCGCGAACGACCGATGTCTCAGAGTCGTCGAAGGTTGTAAAGCTTCGACTCTAGGTTTTTAGAATTCGCGAATCCGTACTTCTCTAACCGTGTTACGGGATAGAGATGGTAAGTTGAAAATCTACGAGATGCGTTTGACTGCACGATTGATTCAAGAGTGTCGCGATCTTTCCGGAGCCCGTTCCTCCTCAGCTCAAACCCCCTCCGACACACTATTTTGAGGGTGTTAACTGATTTGTGCGTTGACCTTGTGATTCGATTGATTGGCCATCGACTTGGGGAAGGGGATCCACTGTCCTGCCCCGGTTGGGAGGAAAACTCCTCCCTCACACCCAACCGTGGTGAAGAACGAGTCCCAGGTCACCCTGGAAGAGGGTGATCGCGGTGTCCTCCCCAAGTCGAGGGCCGCGTTAATTTTGCTTAGGAAAAGAAAAAACGGGACTCCGGATTAGGATGCGCTGAATTGCCGCACGTGTTGTACAGCTGTGTTATGGCTATATTGTTCCATGGGTTGGCAATGATCGTTGCCGGTCGGCCGACGTTGGCCTCGAAGACCGGACCACACGCGGAACAATATAGCCCTTCGCTGGTGAACTCAGATCTAGTATTTTCGTTCGACGAGGCACTTCGATTACTTTACGATGACATTTGCCAGATGCGGAATATTCGAAGACTTTTCGACTGAATCACGATTCCGCATCTGGCACCATAAAGAGCGGAAAAACCCGAATTGACCGGGCGGAACAATAATCATTCATTTATTTCTCCGTAATATATTCCTTTATCGCCCAGCAAATCGAAGCACCGAAAGCTTCATTTTCGTTTGTTGACATTTCCACCAGAAACGGAAAAGAAATTTATTTCGCATATTCTATTTTGTTTATTGTGTAATTTGGTTGACTCTAGATTGGAGGGAGCAACGATACACGTTCCACGCGTATTTTCGAAACGAATCATGCAATTTTTAAGATCACTTTCACGAAAGTATCGAAAAGTTTGAGGCATGATATGAAAAATTCCATCGGTAAACTGCAATTAATAAACTGTCATGCCCAACTGTGATTCAAAAATCGTTTGTTTTCCATTCTGCAGACGTTTCACCGGTATCAGCGACATCAAAGTGCCCCAGAACAATTCTTACACTCTCCTTCGCGTACGGTAGTTACTGATCTTTCGCTCTACAAGAACACTATACTAACAATAGTGCTGTTTTATACATATCAATCCTTGTTTTTCAGGTAACAAAATCTGATGCATGAGCGTTGATGATGCAAACATATGTATATCCCGCCGTGGTTTTTACAGATTAATCTGTGGACATTTCCGACGATATTTTAATAATCAAATGCGGTGCAAATAGCATATACAATTATAAAAGTTGAATTTGGAAAAATTATCCGATAAATTATACGAGATGTAAACCATGACTCGTGCCGAATGAAATACCTCTTAAATATAGTATTTATTACTGTATAAAGTGATTACTATAAAATAAAGGAAAATGTATACATCTTGTTTAGACAGATCAAGGATACCTCCCTTTTTCTTTTTATCGAAAAATCATTGGATGTGTGGGCAAGAGAGTACAATTTCAGCATAAGTGGAACAAACGAGTAATGGTCAGACGACTCAGCTCAATCTCAAATTCTTCGAAAACGAAGGCTTATACAGAAAATTGTACTTTCGTTCAATTTTTTATTTCATTGTCATTCTTTCACATTGCAATATAAAGTCAGGTATTTAAGCGACAATTATGGCGAAAAGTTGGAATGAAAATGATAGTGTGCAATTCTGTAGAATTCTTTGCAACAGTGTACAAAGTTATGTGATATTGCATGATACTGTATGATGCTCTATGATACTTTATGTAACATTACATGGTACTATGTAGCTTTCAATTTGATTGATTATGCGAGTATATCGATTCTCAGACAATATTGATTTCTCCTTATGCGGCCAGTTCCCCCATAACATACTTTCGCGTCCTTTAACGTTAAATCGATAACTCTGTTTAATCGAAACATACTACTCTTCCACGTGTTTATAGTTCCCTTGTCTTGTAATCAATGCATCCCCACAAAAAAATCATTGGACTTAAATGTTAATTAAACATAAATTCTTGAAAATGCACTTCCTTATTTGGGATGTGTACTCTAATATTATTCCAGCATTCTATTTCATTTAATTGCACATGCAGAAAGCTACCAAATTGAACGAAGTGCAACCTGATTGTAATTAAAATTCTGGTTTAATAACTGTTTAATACATATTAATCTTACTTCCATCACAGAGCTTTTAAACCACCCAGTCTTAATACAATTAGTGCACAACAATTACATCTGTTTCCGTTTGTGCAATTGCCACGATTATATTTTTTGCCTTTCAAGTGTTTTAGTAGACGTTAATCAACTCGTATTTTTGCTGGAATTTTATTACAGTGGAAAATTCAAGTAGCAAGACCCTTCGGTTAACTTTACCGCCGTTATTAAATTCACGGGTGGACTCTGCATTACGCGTCACCCTCCGCAGAGTATAAAAACATTGCAAGCCATAAAATATTATCTGCATTGTCCCGAAGGGTAACCATAGGGGAAACTTACGCACGCTTAGGCATACATCTATCCGATTATTAAGGAAATTATTTTTTTATTTCAATGTCTCTGGTGTCCTCCCGATCACTTGGGTTCGAAGACCTTCTCCAGCCATCGATCTCGTAAATTACACCAACTGTCAATCATTTCCTCCTGCCCCTCGCAACCCGTTCGTCGGATTCACCGAGGGTGCGTGAAGGCATATAGTGGCAATGCGCGATCGATCGCGTCGCACTCGCGTTTCTGACTTCACAGAAGGATGTACTGCGTCGCGAGTTCCTGCTACGCGTGACGAAAGAAGTTTCCATTGGCCTGTGGCCGCGTTTCCAGTGATCTTCCGTTCCGCGTCAGTGATCGATATGTCGTTCCAGTTATCGGAGGCTGTCAAGATTGCCCCTAGGCGACAGTCGAGTCCTTTCGTCCGTAAGATGGGATTTGGCGATGGTAAAGTCCAGCAAGTGGGAGAATCGAGTCGAGGGAAGAGGATCCAGGAACGACCGACTGAAGCAGACGGAGATCGAGGAATTCTCCTGCCAGTTGGTACTGGTTGAGGCTAACGGGTGTTTGTCCTTCGAAGAAAGTGAAGGATTCTTTCATTTGCTGGACCTTGGTGACCTTGATCGTCAGTTTATAACACACGGAATCTTGGACTAGAGTGAGATATTAATCTTTACCAACGTTTCTAATCGATGATCTCTGAATTCCGTCTTAACACGTGGTGTCTCCATTTTCCTAGCTGACATTGAGTTTCTCGTCCAAGTGCAAGTTCGTTCCTTCTTACGAACACTCTGTCCGCCATCCATCAGCTTCTCTATGGGGATATACAGCGACTTCTGAAACCGTGATACGTTTAACATTCGAGCCATGTGCACTGTGATGTGACTAGGTGAGCACGATGTTCGCGGAGAGGTTAAAAGTCGACCGGAAATAATTTGCTCAACGATGGAACGAGCAATGCATGGTCGTCTTGTTGCTTACACGTAAGGAACGCGAACAATTGCTCTACACAATCTCTTTCCATTCGTTCGAAAACTTCTCGTGTTACTGTTGGAATATCGTGAAATCCATCTAAATCCTTGGATACCGCTTTTTCTCGAAGAACTTTCTAAGACTAACTATTTTTACCGTGTCCTTGTGAAAGAATTGCCCAACATACATATTCTCTGTATCAAGGTCCACGACAGGAAATGAAATAAATTTCTGATAGAGGCCATTGCCATAAACAATGACCTTTCAAGGTATTTGCCTCGCAACTTTGCTATTTTACAGTTGCTTTATTTAAAAAGAAAACTTCGTAATTTATACTTTCATTTATTTTCAGCGTCCTATATTTTTACGTTTATTATTATATTATATTGCCCGGTAATTAAAAACTGTCTTAATATAAATAGGTGACATTTTTCTTAAGATAAGCCCTCCTACGAATTAAGAACCTCTTATTATTAGATAATTATATTTTTATCGACAATATTAATACAGGAAAATAATCACCACTGACAATATGCACCTTAGGGACTCATTGTCCGTCAATGTGACAATTATCAGACCCAAAGAACACAATATAACATATTAAATGATGCATAC